CCTGACCTTAAGTGTGGGATGCCCAGCAGGTGATTCCCTGGTCCTTTATGACATCATTATTAGGACAATTTTGCTCAACATTCCCTACATCAGGCTCTCCTGGTCCTTCAGTTGTTAAAGGACAGTCCCTGCCAGCCTGTCCTTAGAGGACACACCAACAAAGCTAAATAGCGTTTGTACTGACCAGACAGGCTAGACTGTATGGACTTCCCAATTAGCTCTTATCTGCCCCCTTTGGCCCTTGACCCCACCTCAACCTGAAGACAAGCAGTGCTGATTTTGTCCCATCTCCGGGGAGCTCAGACTCCTGCCCCAACCACTGCAGCATTCCCTCTGGCTCTCTCCTCTGGCCCCTGCAAATCAGTGCTGCTTGCCTAACCCCTTCCTCATGAAGTTACCAGCTAAGGCTCTGAGCAAAGGAGTGGGGGTGGAGATAGAGATACAGATACCCAGGCAGCCAAAGACAATGAAGATGACAATGTTGGCACCTAGAAACAGAGCACTGAGGAGGATGACTACATGGGGAAAATAAAAAAGGAATCTTAAAAGACAACAAAAATGGCTGCTGTGACCTGGTCATCCTGTAGCCTCACAGGGTCAACCCTGAGGAGAGCGGCTGGCACTCAGCACCATAGCACTACCTGCAGGCGGCACACATGCTCCACCACCCAGTCCCAACAGCAACCAGAAGTTGCAGGCGAGGAAAACAAAAGAAACCCAGACTTCCAGGCACTAATATTTTTCCTTTCAAGAAGGAAATTTGTCTTTATTTACATTTTAATTTTTGCATGTATTGTTGGAGATCAGACATTTTTAAGAATCTCAGGAAGAACAAACCAGCCTTTGGAGCATTCTGTAGCTGTCTCTCATTTTTCTTGTGGGACCATGTTCTTTATACTTTATAAATCCATTTAAAACATGAAAAACAGATTTAAAGAAGCAAAACCACCACCAAAAACAATCTTCCACTGAGTATTCCACTAACTTGTTGTGTACAAACTTAGTTGCACTACAAGTAGTTGGCATGAGAGGCTTAGAAAGACTAAAGATAACATGTATCATTTTCCTCCCTTTTCTGTTGATGAAGTTTGCTGCTAAGTTTTCCATCTCCCCTCACTTTTTTGTGGCCTATTTATGTACAATGGAAACAAAGCTGCCTAACAATAAACCAGAATTATATCTGACTGAGTTGCTCTAAAATCCATATCACACTTCCACCAAGTGTCCCCACCACGACTTTGGTGCAGCCTCCTTTTACCACATAGGAGGGAACAGGAGACTTGGCTCTCTGCCACCCAGTGACTGCATCCAGTTGGCCAATCAGTTCAACACAAGGATCTAGGCCCAAGAGAAGCTGGTTCTGGTATCAAAGGAAACAGCATCAAATCTACACTCTCCTTAGATGCTTAGCTAGTTCATGAGCCCATTGAAGCTATGTTTTGACCCCATTTGAGGCACGACTAAGGATGCTAAATGCACCTTAAAAGCATCTACCTCTCCCATTCCCTGCTTGTGCCACAATCTCCTTGAGTCCTCTTTAAATCTAAGTCAGGAGGAAGAATCCACCTGTAACTGCTGCGATTCTGAAGGATATACCTACCAGCAAGCCACAAGGACAGTCACGCCTCTCCTCGGGACAGAGAAAGGAAAACAGACCATGAGGCTAAAGTCCTTGCTTCAAGAATTTATACAACAGTCCTCTTCCCATTCTGTCACAACTGAAACTGAAAGCACATCCTTGCTCAAGATATAAAGGCTGTTGTCCTACCCTCTCTCAGGCACTGCTGGAGGAGACTGGATCGGAATCCTGCACAGCACATCAGGTACCTGTCATCTCTGAGCTCACTTTTGACTTCTGTCTTCAACCTGGCCCAGTCCTGCCTGTTGCAGCCATTGGTGAGTGAATTAGCATTTGGCTATCAATTTCTCTTTGCATTTCACTTTCTCTTTCTTTCTTTCTTGAAAAGAAAAAATGATGGTACCTCATTTTGGTGTAGTCAGTAAAGGTACAAGTGACACCAGCATTCCATATGGGCACTGGTTCGTGTCCTGGCTGCTCCATTTCTGATTCAACTACCTGCTAATATGTCTCAAAAGGCAGCAGGAGCTCGGGCCTCTGCATCCACATGGAAGAACTGAATGGAGCTTCTAACTCCTGTCTCGAGCCTGGCACAGCATTGGCTGTTGCAGCCATTTGGAAAGTGATCCTGAGCATGGAAGATATCTATCTCTGTGTTTGTCCTCCTCTATAACTTTTTCAAACAAACAAATAGTCTTGAAGAAATAATTTTAGGGCCCAGTGCAGTAACCTAGTAGCTAAAATCTTTGCCTTGCATGCACGGGGATCCCATATGGGCCACCAGTTCTAATCCTTGCTGCCATGCTTCCCATCCAGCTCCCTGCTTGTGGCCTGGGAAAGTAGTGGAGGGCAACCCAAAGCCTTGAGAAACTGTACCCACATGGGAGACCCAGAGGCTCCTGTTTTCTGGCTCCTGGCTTTGGACAGGCTCAGCTCCAGTCTTTGCAGCAGTCACTTAGGGAGTTAATCATCAGAAACAAGATCTTTCTCTCTGTCTTTATCTCTCAATATATCTGCCTTTCAGATAAAAATAAATAAATCTTTAAAAAATAATTTTTAAAAAAAGAAATACTGCAAGCAGGGACTAGGGAGAAAGGATCTTGAAACAAACTTCTTCTTTTTAAAAAAATGATATTTTTATTGGAAAGGCAAATTCACAGAGAGGAGAGACAGAAACATCTTCTGTCTGCATGTTTATTCTGTAAGTTCCTGCAACAGTTAGAGCTGAGCATATCCAAAGCCAGGAGCCAGATGCTTATTCCAGGTATCACACACAGGGGTGCAGAGAACCATGGCTTTGGGTCATCCTCTACTTCTTTGCCAAGTCACAAGCAGGGAGCTAGTCAAGAAATGGAGTAGAGAGCCCGGCACAGTGGCCTAGCAGCTACAGCGCTCAACTTGAACACACCGGGATCCCATATGGGTGGCACATCTAATCCCAGCAGCTCCACTTCCCAACCAGTTTCCTGCCTGTGGCTAGGCAAAACAGTGGAGGACAGCTCAAAGCCTCTGGACCTTGCACCCACATGGGAGACCGGAAGAAGTTCCTGGCTCCTGGCTTCGGATCGGAGCAGAACTGGCCGTGGAAGTCACTTGGAGAATGAATCCCTGGATGGAAGAGCTTCCTCTGTCTTTATCTTCTCTGTATATCTGACTTTGCAATAAAAATATTAAAATCTTTTTTTAAAAAGTGCAGTAGTAGGATACAATCCGGGGCCCATATGAAAGGCAGGTGCACGCAAAGCAAGGATTTGGCCACTAGAATACTGGGCAAGGCACCCAAGAAAATTCTTTTTGAAAGGCTGAGATGCAGGTTATCTAGCACTCCACAACTTTAAAAAAGCAATTGATATCATATGGAACCAAGGTTTCTGAGGACAAGTATGGTTATTGCATACAAACAAAGGTTACTCCGAATGTACACAGCACACTTGATCCCATTGATGGAAACTGATCTTACCTTTCATCAATCCAGTGTCAGCATAGTTGGGATCAGCTCTCCCTGAGTACACAACGTCAAAGTTGATTATTTCTAGTGAGTGTGTCCTGATGGGTAAAGGATGGGGAGCCTAGAGTCACAGCAGGAGGTTCCAACAGGAACCTTCAGGTCCAGCTCACAGCCCCTCTCTGCATAAGGTCTCAGCCAGCACTATCTTGTCAAATCTAACAGGTACACACACCACAGGGTTTAGATGCAGAGCAGAATTTTCAAGATTTGCCAAGAGCTGCACATAGGTAGCAATCAGGAGAGGAGGCGCCAGCCCCAGCGATAGTGACCATCACTCTTCATCCTCTGTGGGCCTGGCTGAGCAAGAGACTGATTTCTCCACTCCCCCCAGAAAGAAGTGATAAATCATGACTTCTCACTAGCCCCTGCAGTTAGCGAAGCAAAGATGATCCCCATGAAAGATGACAACGTAAAGTCGGAGGCAGGAAGTTTGAGCCCTAGGCAAACAAGGCTAGGAGAGGAACTTTCTTTTCTTTCTAGATTAGTCATTTATTTATGTTGAAAACACAGAATTACAGAGAGAGGAAAGACAGAAAGAAAGATCTTTCCATCTACTGGTTCACTCCACAAAGAAATGCATTGGCTGGAGATGAGCTGATCCAAAGTCATGAGCCAAGAGCATCTTCTAGGTCTTTCACGAGAGGACATGGTCCCAAGGCTTTGGGCCATCCTCTGATATTTTCCCAGGACACAAAGCAGGGAGCTAGATCAGAAGTGGAACACCCAGGGTACAAAAGAGCAATCATGTGGGATCCTGGCACATAGAGGGTTAGGATTTAGACACTAAGACATTATGCTGGCACCAGGAAAAGTTCTTTCAAGTGTTTGTCAGACCTCACAGTATTTCTCCAAAGGAGAGTCCAAGGCTGAGCCTCTGCAGGGCCTTCTAGAAGGTGAGCTGTCTCTCTCACTGGCACTTTACCGAACACGCACCTCCACCAGTCACAGAATTGATCTTTTCACTGCCAGATCCATAGGACGATCTGAGTGTCAGAATCACTCATTCCTGGTCCAAGACTCATTGGCAAAGAATCGTGGATGTGATATGGGAGAGCAGACTTGTGGATTTAAAGTGGAGATTCAATAACAACTAATAAATCATGGAACAAACATGCAACTTACAGTGGCTAAGATGCTGTGCCCTACTTTGTTGGATCTGGGTTCACTTCTCAGCTCCTGACTTCAGCTGGCTACTATGAGGCAACCATGAGGACACAAGTCACTGGGCTCCCACCACCCATGTGGGAACTTGAAGACTGAGTTCCTAGCTCCTAGCTCCAGCCCACCTCTGCCTGAATCAGGACTTGGGAGTGTGGCCTCCTATCCTGCCCACCTCAGGAAAGAAGTGAAACAAAAATAAACCAAAAGAGAATTGATGAACCAAGCTAACGCTCATCCCTGACACTGTCTCATCTCTGTTTGCAGTGACTGTTGAAGATGAGGACAGCCTTTTCAGTTCTCCTCTTTGTGCTGGCTGGGTTGCTGACACCACAGGTAACATGTCCTGCCCACCCCTTGCCATGGCCTGCTGACTTTAAGACAACAGAGTTTCTGGACTTGAGTCCATGTTTACAGACAATTAGAAAGTATGACTCTAAAAAAGATTTTAAAAGTAGAACATTCTGGTCTAATGCTCCTCGCATGCCAAACAAAACCCCATGATGGGAACATGTGAGATCCCATGCTGAGCCCGACATCCACAATGGGCTTTGGCTTGGGCTTCCACATGCTGATCCTGGGCCAACCAAGTTCTACTCCTTGACAGGTGGATGGCCAGCAGCAGCTTGTCCAGCTGGATATGGCTCCAAAGGCATTTGATGATCAGTATGTGGGCTGCACAGAAAAAATGGAGAAAATTGCACCCCAGTTGTTAGAAGAAGAAATGCACAAGAACAAAACCTTCAGTGCTGAGTGGGAGAAAGCTGCAAAGCACTGGAAGCAAATAAAGAATACCATAAGCTACCCCTCCCAGTTCAATGATTTCCATGGAACAGCTCTGGTGGCCTATACTGGGCCCATTGCAATTGATTTTAACACAGCTGTGAGAAACTTCACTTCAAATGATACATTTCGCTTCAAAGCCTTCCATTATTACCTGACCAGAGCACTGCAGCTTCTCCGCTCAAGCAGGTGTCACACAGTTTACAGAGGCTCTAAAACCAGATTTTCTTACAGTGGCACAGGAAATATACGATTTGGACAGTTTACTTCATCATCTCTGGATCGTGACATTGCTAGGAAACAGTTTCATGGTGACAGTGGGACCCTGTTTATCATCAACACCTGCTTGGGTGTTCATATTGAAGCCTTTTCACTGTATCCAAATCAGAAGGAAGTGCTGATTCCAGGCTATGAGGTATACCAGAAAGTCACTGTCACCACCAAACCTCATGAAACGAATAACACCATTACACTTGAAAACCCCCAAGCCATGGCAAGTAAATTCAATTGCCTCTACAGCAATTTCAATGGAGCAGGTGAGTCTGAGTCTGTGTTGGAGATGGGAGTGGGTCCCATCACACACTAGGAGAGGGATGCTTTCCTCACAGAAGCCCCCAGGACAGAGAGCAAGGAACCTCCAGGATGCTGCCAAGGAGTGTGAGGTTCCTGCAAGACCAGGGCTACTGGCTTGAACCAAGACCAAGGTTCAATCTCAGAGTCGTGGGTACTTCTAGCACAACCAAGCTCACAGGCCTCCTGCTCAACAACAGGTGGCACAAGTCATGGAAACCACTCATATGTTAGTGATTCATCTGTAGAATTCATATTGGCATAACTACCATCATTTTATATTTAACCTTGTGTATATCTCAGTCATGCTTCACCACTGCATCATGATCATTTTTTCCCAGAGAATTGGGCCTGGGGCCTGAATTGGGCCTGGCGGGACAAGGCAGTATGCAGCAACACCTGTAGGGTACAGGGTTCAAGAGAATGACTTCAGGAGGAGCTCAGGATCTAGCAGGCCCAAGGCCTCAATCAACCTTAGATTCAAGAAGAAAAAAAAATATGCAATCTAAATCATGTGTGTGTGTGTGTTCTCTCCATCTGCATGAATTTGTGTGTTGCCTGAATTTTCTGAGTGCTCTCAGAATCCCTGAAAGGCAAGAGGAGAGTATAAGCAGTGAGGCAAATCCTTTATCCACCAACTCAGGCTTTCAAGAGAAACTCCAAAGTCAGATAGTCCATTATTTCAAGGAACCCCATACTGACACTTGTTTTTGTCTTCACCCCATGTGCAGGAAGGAGAGATGGCCCTGTGTTCTTTCTTCTGCTACCTGGGATCCTAGTTCCACTGCTGCTTCTCCCCCACTGAGCTCTCACCTCCCATCCAGCTGCTTGCTTCTAACAGGGAGTTTGTGAAGCAGGGTGCTGGAGGGAGGCCCAGGGCCAGGACCCATCTGACTCTCCCACATCAGCATCATTATCAAGGGGAAAATCACTTTGTGGTCAACTGTAGTACATATGCCTTCACGATTTGTGAGGACATCACTGGATCTGACTGCCAAAGTGTGGGCTGTATCTTCCTGTTTTCCACTCTAGAGAAGTTTCTGGGTTCAAGACACTTTTCTGCAATTACAAAGTATGATTTGTAAATACTATGACCAATTGAGTTCATTACCACCAACTCGCTCAAATTATAATGAATGCTGTAATCTGAAGAAATAAATTTTGTATTATTATCTGTGCTTCTCTATGATTAGCTACATCTATCTAATCTATCTATATCTCTTGACTCTTGCTGACACACGAAAAACCAGTGTTGTTGGCTGTCAACAAGCAACAGTAAGAACCAGATGGTTATGTCCTAGTTGAGCAAGGTCAATGTTACTGCCAGGACAAGAGGTGGACAAAGCCAATCTGGTCCAAGGACCCACAGCTGTGCATGAGATCTGTCACTAGGAAGAGATCTGACAGAGGTAACACCTTTGTAGGCATGCAGTCCCAGGAGGTGAGGGCAAGAAATAAGGCAAGGAGCAGCTCAGACCATCCCAGGTTACAGTACCTGCCAGCATACATGTGGGTCAGGTCTGGGGACAGACCAGGCTGGGCCAGTTCATAACATTCACTGGCAGATCTGAGAATGAGGTCAGGCTGCAGGAAGGACTAGGTCAGACCACAACACCTGCCATATCACATTGGGGCCAGGATAAGGTTCTAATTATACTGGGCTAGGTTGCAGCACACATCAGCAGGAGCTGAACTGATCCAAGCTGCACAACGCAATAGTGGATGCTGAGGAGTGCCAAAGCAAACCATGCCAAGCCAGCATGGGGTCAGTAAATGCTGGGTTTGTGAGCACCAGGGGTGTGGGATCTGACAGGACTCAGGTCACCTGTCCCAGGTCCTTTGGCCCAACTGTGAGGTGGGTGCCTGGTTTGTGAGCCCCAGGAGTGGGAGATCTGATGGGGCTCTGGCCTTCTGGCCTTGGTCCTTGGACCTGCCTGTGAGTGAAAAAGGCAGAGCAGTGGACACAGACCCTGATGCACATGGAGAATATGGCAGCCTATTTGGAGTCACAGCAGAGGAAAGAGAACAGAGCAAATTGCACAACTACCCCAGCAATGATGACCACAACAATTTGGGTTAATGGAGACTTGAGGTCGACGATGTCAGCTAATGGACATTGGCAGGGTTGCCTCACACTTGAATTGGTGAAATCAACAACATTTCAAAGCTATCCAAATCATTTGATCAGAACCCTCAGAACATGCGCCACATAGGGACCCTGGGATGATATCTGGTGGCAGTTGCTTCTCCCTGGATAGTGGGACATTTGGGAGGCTGGATGTGGCCTTGCTTTTAATCTTGCCCATTCTCCCAGGGAAAAGAAGAAATAGAAATTTGAAAAACTATTTCACCCACATTTCCTTAACCCTCAATCCTCCCCATACTGATCAATCATGTAATCATCAAAAATAAAAATTAATAATTTACACCATAACAAAAAACATTCTTGTAAAGAGTAGGTTTGATTTTGGCATTTTTATTGCTGACAAGGTTGGCTTTACTATCTCTCATAAATGTTCTTACAATTCTAATTGATTGAACCATAAATACAAAAGATCCATTAGAAAGCCCCTCTCCTTACACTACTCAGCCAGAAATTCAAGCTGTTGCTGAGCCCTATCCATTCACTTTAATAATAGCTCCCAAATGATTCCTTACCTCACACCCGCTCTGATGATCTCCCAGGAGCTCAGCCAACCCTCTCTGGTGTGTGGCTAGAACAAGGCAGGTGAGGTGTCATAGTTCCCACAGATGCATCTGACACAGAGCTTCACTCAGCACCCCCAGTCTCTGCCCATCACATCTGAGAACTGCACTGCCCCAAACCCACCAGCTACCGGGGGAGGAAGCCAAATCAACACAAGGCACACCACAGAACATGCTGATGCAATGATAGACAAAGAGGCCAATGAAGAGAACCGAGTCAAGAAATGGAGAAGTCCAATCTGTGCCAATATGGTGAAATCCATGAATGGTGTTGGGACAGCTGATGGTGCATGTGACAAAAGAAGTGAGATTGGTTTGTACCTGTTCTGTCAGATTCCTGGGAGGCCCTGTGTTGCACTCAGCTCATTCACTAGCTGCCACAGAACAGAGAAATGACAGCCACAAATCTCTTAATAAGCAAACACACAACCAACCTCTTCCTGTTTTAACACATTTTTAAAATAATAGTTTCAGAGATTTATTTTTTTACATTCAGGCCTTTCACTTCTTTGGAGGTTACTTTTATGTATTATATATTCAAAAACCACATTCTGACAAGTTTAAGGATCCAATTGGGTCTCCTTAGCAATCTAGAATTGTTCTACAGCCATTCTGCTGGCAGTAGATGCTGAAAAGGAAAGAAGCAGGCAGAAAGATGGAATCAAGTAGACTGTGTATGTAAAGTTACTTTCTTTCTGGTGTTAAATGGGTCATTTCCTCACTGGCTGGCTCAGACCCACGGAGCTGCTTGTGAGCCGTTCACCCTCAATCTACTGGGCCACACCAAAGTTCAGTCGGATTCTGTGGCACATATCCCAAGGGTGCCCTTTCCGAACTGCTCCATCTCCACTGGGAGGCCATCTCTGCCCTGTACCTGATGCCTGAATTGGTACAGGCCCTTTCTCTACCCTCTCCACCTATTATTGCACCAACTTGCTCTCTTGTGTGTCTTGCATTGCTTTGTCATTCGTCTCAGTAGCTGGTAGGCCACAGCCAGTGCAGTCCTCAAACCTGGAGAGGGGAGACTGAAAAGCAAAGCTCCGGGGATGTGAGTCTAGCTGAACCACTTCTGATCCAGCTTCCCACTAATGCCATGCCAAGGCAGTGAAAGATGGCCCAAGAACTTGGATCCCTGCTACCCATGTGGGAAACCAGGTTGGGGTTCCAGGCTTCTGGCTTCAGCCTGGCCCAGCCCCAGCTCTTATAGCCATTCAAGGAGTAAAGCAGCAGATGGAAAAATCTCTGTCTAGTTTTTAAGAAATGTTTTAAAAATAAATAAATTAATAAATAGATCCCACATCCTTGTCTCTAAAACCAAGACTGTGTTTGAAAAATTCTGGGAAGACATCAGGACATATTTCTTTTGGGGAAATGTTTCTATTCACTGAAAAACCAGAAAGTTTTCAGATTATGTTTTGGAAGCTGAAAGGGCAAAAGAGAAATGAAAGAAAATTTAGAGTATCTGCTTTGTAACACAGCAGGTTAAACATCTCATCTGAATCGCTGATTCAAGTCCCAGCTGCTCTGCTTCTAATATACCTGAGAAGGCAGCAACAGAGGGTCCAAATATTTGTGCCCCAGTCACCGTAGTGGGAGACCCAGCCATGGCCACAGCAGCCACTTAGGGAGCAAACCAGAGGATAGAAGACAGGCCTCTCTCTCCCACTCTCCTCCTTTGCTCTGCCTTTCAAATAAATCATTTTTAACAAAACAAAAAATAGGAAATTCAGGTGCAAAGATGAAAAACATCCAGAGCACAGCAACTGGAGTCTGTTCTATCAAACAGGGTCATGCTATTCTTAAGCACAGTTGCTTGTGGATGTTTGGCCTCCTCCAGCTGGAACCACGCTGGATGCTGCGGATTCATCACCATTGCTGCAGGGCACTTCAGAGATGCACGGTGCTCACGGCTGCCACCACTGCTGCCAGTTCTGCCACAGACTACAAGGCACACACACTGCTGTTGACAGCAGCCAGTTCTGCCCAGAGCCAAGGTGGCACTACATTCACAAATGTCCATTGGAAAGCTGGCCTCGGGTGCTGATGACAAGCATGAGTTCACGTGCATCCACCAGACTAGTCTGTGCTTTAGACAGGAAATCTCCCTCATCCCAGACATTTCAGCCTCATCACCTTTTTTGCATCTGCAATTACCAAAATCAATTTCATTTTGCCCTTGATCCCTGGGTATAGAACCCAGGTCTCCCAGGTCGTCTCACATCCTGGGACCCCAGTGCACATAAGACTGCACATATCCCATTCTTTAATCCCAAATCCCATGCTTCCTAATTTTCTGGAATATTCTCACCACGCCCCCTGAACTCAAACCCTCATCCTCTGCCTGGTGTTCCTTTCACTTCCTGATCTCTGGGACGTGCCCCCTGCTGAGAGCACCATGTCATCATCCTCCCAGTTGCTCAGATGTACCTCGAGTAACTTGGAGTTACTCTTCATTCCTCTCTCTCTTCCACCCATGATCTAGGAGCAAAATCTGCTGTTTCCATCCTCAAGTGAATGTCAAGTGCAATCTAACCACTTCTCACTTGCCCTGCTCCCACACTGGTCCAGGTCTCCATAGGAGCTGTGGCAAGAAATGCTACTGTAGAGTATTCTATTGTCTATTCACCCTGCTCACCTCATACTTGGAGAGGTTGGTGAGTTAAAGCCACACTTCCCAAACTGCATTGCAATTAGGGCCCATCATTTAGTTCCCGATATTGGCACACCAAAAAAAAATAATAATAAATAAGGGAGGGGGGCATTATGGTGGCACTGTGGGCTAAACCAACATCTTGACACAGTATCCCATAAAAGTGCCAGTTCGAATACCAGCTGCTCCAAATCTGATCCACTTCACTGTGAATACACTTGGGAAACAACAGAAGATGGCCGAAGTGCTTGGGTCCCTGTCACCCACATGGGAGACTCAGATGGAGTTCCAGACTCCTGGCTTCAGCCTAACCCAGCCCTGACCATTGCAGCCATTTGGCTAGCAAATCGGTGGATGAAATATCTCTCCCTGTCACTTTGCCTTTAAGACAAACAAAATAAGCCTTTAAAAGTGTAAGACATGGAAAGGAGTTATGGGCCATTGCTCTGCTGCAAGCAAAGGTAGACAAAAGGACCATCTAACAATCAGATTCAAGGTTCTCTATGCATTCCAGGTCTTTTCACCATTTTTGTGAGTATGTGAGAGTTGTGGGTGTGATAATAACTGCAAGGACTTAATCAGATTTCTGGTAAGCAGGTTACATTTGCAGTGGTGTGGCCTTGAAGGCCAATGTCAGTGCTGATGCATGCCTTCCATTTCCAACCTCCCAACTGTTCTTTCTGTTTCTATACTTGCCCACCAGAAGGATTCCACAAACTTCAGACAAATATGTAACTGCTCTACATCAATGGGAGAACTTTATTTGGGGGTTCCATGGAAGCTGCTTCAACTAGTTTGATAACAATGCAAGGCAACAGGGGAATGTTTAAACATTTTTTATCTCTGCCACTCATGTGAGGAAGACCTGGACTGAGGCCCAGCCCCAGCTGATGCCTCTATTCCCTACAGCTCAGCTAGTCTCCAGAGTTGTTACAGCACTCACACGCTCCTGCCTCAGGGCCTGTGTGTGTTCTTCTGGTTGCTTAGACCTTGCTTCAAAAGCCCATTTCTCAGTGGACATTCTGTGTCTCTCTACAACCAACACACACACACACACACACACACACACACACACACACACACACACACACACACACACACACACAAGTTCTCCTGGCTTCTTGCATTACAGGCCTCCTCAGCATTTGTCACAGACTGAAGATCACAACATACTGTGCAGTCTTTAAGGTAACATAGGACCTCCTTAGCCCTATCCACACCGACCCCTGCCCTTTGCCCACCTGATAGCCCCCGGCCTTCTCTCTGTTTTCATGTCACCCCAACATTCCCTGCCTTCGAGCCTGCCATCCATGTGTTTATTCCATGTTTCTTGTATATTGCTTGTGTCTCCTGCCTCAAGAATCTAAACTGTACCAGGGCAGCAATCTCCAAGCAACTACAACACCTGCCACACAGCAGATCTTAGGACTCCTTACTGAATCATTTAATTGTCTCCATTCTGTGGCTAAGAAACCTAAGATTTTAAAAAGAAAAAAAAAGAGGAGGGTGAAGAGACTTTCTCAAGGTCCCAGCCCAAAGGGACAGCTCTGGAGTTACTCAGGCACTGAGGGGTCAGGGCAGGGAGTTCATGATTTTTCTCTTATCATCTGCTGCTGTTTATGACACTTGCTGGTGTTCCTGCTGAACCGCGGTCTTTGTGTTTGTTAAGCTCTTTATTGAGTATAGCATAAAGGCTCAGCCCTAAAACACAAAGTGAAAATGTTAAAAAAAATTAATAAAATGTATAAAATTATAGTATGCATAGAGAAAAAGACAGAAGTCACAAATGTGCAGCTTGATAGACTATGATGAAATGCTCACAGCTGTGCACTCAGCTCTCCCCTACGGCCTCCAAGACGCCACATGCTCAGAGAAGAAGCACAGGTCTAACTATCAGCACCAGGCCTTAATTCTGTCTGCTCTACAACCTTATATAAATTGAATCAAATGGACTGTATTCTCTTTGTCTTCATTTACTCAAAATTACATTTGTGAGACTCATTTACGTTGCTGCCTATAACAATATTTTATTTCTTTTCAATGCTCTATCATATTTCATTACATAAATAAGTGACAATTTATTTGCCCATTCTACTGTCTACTGTCTGGGAACTTTATTCTTTCCAAAATTTAGCTCCAAGGAATAAAGCTACGAACATGCAATGAACAACATTGGTATATATACCCATTGCTATCACGGCATTCATTTCTATTGGCTTGTGCCTGGGAGTGGGATTGCTGGGGATGTGTTATTGGTATATGTGTGATGTTGAACTTCAGTAGGCCCCATCAAACAATTTCCCAAAGTCATTCTAATCACCCACACTCCCAGTAGAAGAGTACAAGTTTCCCATTTCTCCCTTTTGCCTATCGCTGCTCCTGCTGATCTTTTTGCACTTGATCAGCCTAGTGGATAGAAATCTGGTGGCTTTGACCTGGGCAAAGCAGGGAGTCAGAGATGGAGAAGGAGCTGAAGACTGCCATCATCCACGCCATGAGCACTGCCCCGATCCCATCACCTCCCATACTGCTTCAACTGCAGATCTAACACTCCCATCCCTCCTCCTACAGCCACACCCCTCTCCCATTATGTTCTAGGTGCCATGCCGCCTTCTTGGAGACCACCACACAAACCACAGCCAGGGTCTTCAGCCAGGTCCTGCCCTGAGCACCACCCCACCCTGTAAAAGGATGCCGCTAGGCTGTCTGGGACAATTTCCCTGGTAGTAGCCTGCCCTCATGTCTGAGTGTGTACCAGCTTCTTACATTTCAAGAAATCCCGCTCTTCTGGTCACTTCCATCTGTGACTCTGGATTGTATCCTTATATGCAGGAAGACAAGGTTTCTGGGCTACAAGTGGGCCTGTGCACTCTGAACCCTGCCAGCCTTTGATTCCTGCAGAAGTTTCATTTCTCTGCACTTCCCTGACTTCCACTGATAACCTTTCCATAGGCTCCTTGCTGTTTAAATGCCCTCATATTTGAAATGCCATGCATGTCTCATGCCCAGCACTACTGGGATCTGTTAAACCAAAATCACAGGTCATGGTTTTGGTCCCAGCAGGCCAAAGAACCAGTCAGTCATGCTGACTTCCATGTTACTAAGACTGCATTGTGTCTGGGCCTACTGAGAAATCAAGGGAGGCAAACAACAGCCAGGCATCCTGGCCGGACCAGGCCGTGGGGCTCCCTCTGCCTTAGTCCTCCCCTCTAACAAGAAGGGGGCTGGTGTTAGTCAGCTGTCACTGCTCTGCCTCTGTCTCCACCTTACACAGACAGTAACTTTGAAATCAGTCTACTATTTGTTCTTTGTCTCCTTTCTTCCACCTTCCTCCATCTGTAAAAGCTGACAACTTCTGCTGAGCTCACACACTTATTCTGTCTTATGGAGTATTGCCAATTCTAGAATTGCAAATTAAGCTAACCAAGATCTTTACATTGTGCTTTTGTCTTTCAGTAGATGTCCGTATCTCTCCATGGGGATACAGGAATTATTTATGCTTTCTTTAAATGAACTCTACATTCGCCTATGTGTGGCTAACATCATTCTCCATTCTGAATTATTTTTTCCACTGCCATATCAACTTTAACATTTTAAATTTCATTGTATTTGCCATGAAGCATGTTTTCCTCTCACATTTCATGAAATGAATTAACTGAATAAACATGTCAAGTCCTCCTACTCAGCAGGAAAACACCACGGCAATGGGCTTTGTTTCCGGGTAGAGAAAACTGGGCAAAGACTAAAACTTGGCATTTCATACACATCTGCCTGGAATGGTAACATATCTCGCTCTCATTCTTCCATATCTAAATGTTGGTTTTTTGAATTTTCAGGTATTTTTTGTTTTTTATTATTATCATCATTTTATGATACAGTTCAATAGGTCCTGGAATTTCCCTTAACTCCTCTCCAAGTCCCTTCCCCGCCCTTCACTGAGTTTCCCTATGTTGTTACTATAATATAGTTCTTCATAAACAGTCATACGTCCATCATTGTGGGCATGGACAATGGCAGAAGTCCAGCATCCTACTATCAAGATGTAGTTAACATTTTCTTCGGGAGTCCATCTTTGATCTGGAAGTAGAGATGCATATTGCATTGTATCCTCACATCTGGATATGATGATCTCCATTACACAGTTACTATACAGCCCCTTAAAGCAAAGCCACAACATAAAATCAACAGGAAGAAAAATAGAAATTTACAACACCGTGAAGTTAAATAACATGCTACTAAATGACTAATGTGTCGCTGAGGAAATGAAAAAGAGAATCAAGAACCTTCTTGAAGAAAATGATGCTACTGTACAATCTATGAGTCAGTGAATAATTTAATCAAAAGAAAGTGTTTTGCAGAGATACTAAAAAAAAAATCAAAATCCGTGAGATATCATTTCTGCTGATCTTTGACACTGAAACAGGTCTCCTGCAGGCAACAAATAAATTTTTTAATCCAGTCTTTTAATCTATGATGTTTGATGAGTTTAAGCCATTTACTTTCAGGGTTAATACGAATGGGTGGTAATTTGGTCCTCTCATTTTAACAATAGCTTGTTAATAGATTTAATCTTCTGGGGCTTTTTTGGGGTTTTTTTTGTTTTTGTTGTTGTTTTTCCTGGGATGTTCTTCACATTTGCCTTTGGTTTTGATGGGTGTTATTTCTCTTCTCTGTCAAAAGAACATCTTTAAATATCCTTTGTAGGGCACGTTTGGAAGAGGCATATTCTTTTAACTTTTCATAACTGTGGAAGAATCTTGCTTCATTTTCAAGGACAAAGGAAAGCTATGCTAGATACGTTGTACTGGGCCAAGAATTTTTTGCTTTTAGAATCTGGAATATGTTGCTGCATTCTCTTCTGGCCTTTAGAGTTTCCTGTGAGAGGTCTCCTGTGAATTTAATTGCCATTCCTCTGTATGTCAATTGATTTATTTTTTCACATGCACATTTAAGGATCTTTTCTTTATGTTTGATTGACAAGAGCTTGATTATCAATCACGTGTTGTGGTGAAGATCACTTTTGATCACCCCTGTTGGGAGTTCTGTGCCATTCCTGGATGTGGTTTCCCAATTATTTCTCTAGGTTAGGAATTTTTTTCCTTATTATTTCATTAAATAAATTTTTTAAACTAAGCTTCTACTTCTGCACCTTCTGGTACTCCCATAACTCTGTTTGGCCTTTTAATGGTGGTGTCTTTCAATTCTTGAATACTTCTTTTAGCTTGACCCAGCTCTGCTTCCAGCTTGTTTGTTTGTTTCCCCCTTGGTAACAGGAAATATCTTCCAATTTTTTGGATACTTTTTCTGCTTCATTCATTCTATTTTAGAGACTCTCCACTGTACTTTTAATTTGCTCTACAGTATTCTTAATTTCTGACATATCAGCTTTGATTCATTTCCTGTGTGACACATTCCTTGAACATTTACTTTACATGCTTCTCATTGTTGATAAGAAGCTTTATAACAGGTGTTTTGAATTCTGTATTCCTCCATTTTCTCAATGTATTCCTCAGTTAACTTTGAGGTTGGCAAAGGGTTTTGCTGCTTTGCAGGGGAGTCTTCAGTAATTTGCATTGTGCCTCTGTCTCTTCTTTTGCTCTTCGTCATTGCCCTTCTGGTTAGTAGACTCTTCTCCTTTGGGCAAGCTTCTAAGCTGTGTCACCTATAGGTCTACAATTTGATTTTTCTTATTGTGGTGAGCACACGGCTCTTTGTTTGTAGTCACTTGTATCACTCACTCCAGTGGCGTCCAGGTCTGGGTTCTTATGGTAGATTTCCACCACATGGTCTCCTTAGCCACAGTTATTGACTCAGCTCGCCACTGTCCACCTCCTATGATACTGTGCTGAGGCTGCACCATCATACAACTTTTCTCCCACTTCCAGTCCAAGCAGTTCCCAAGATTAGGGAGATACTAAGTGTCTTATATAGCTAGGCTGTTGGTGGAGCTGATCTTGCGGAAACCTTTAGGCTGTTTGGTGTGAGGGCCACACAGGCCTCTTTTGACCTGTACAGTGCCAAAGTTGGTATTATTTACCCTATTACCCTATGGGACCAGTGCAATGCACTGAACTCAGTGAGTTTGCTCCCAGCTCAGCATATTTGCAGCTCACTGTTGTCCCTACAGTCTTATAGCCTTTGCCACACTGTACAAAATGGTGCCTGATGTACCACTACTAGAGTTCTTGGTCTGCTGGTCATCAGGTGTGACGGCTACCTGGACCTATCTTGGGTGAAGTTGTAGGATGCCTCATTGCTGCAGTTCACTGAGACAGAAATGAGTTCACTCCCAGCTCAGAGCATGCACAGTACTGTCCCATAGCCTTTGTCTCTCTGCACAAAATGGCACCCGATTCAGCTATAGGGGGCTAGCTGGGCTGTGAAATCCATCCTGTTCCCACACCGCCTGTGTAAGGCTTGCCCCCCTCTCTCTCTGCTGGTCAAATCAAACAGACCAGCAGGACAGGCAGTTCTTTGTCTGGGTTCACCTCCTGCTCTCCCAGTGAATGCTTTTTCCTACCTTGTTGCTGGTGAAGTTCTGGCGCCAGTGCAGTTCAGATCACTGCTGGTTCAATGCTGCTAGGGTAAAGGTCATTGCTATAACACATCGTGTGTCTGCTGCTTTCCCACGTATGTTAGTCTCCAGGTGCCCCTCTGCTGTCGTTCGGTCCTCTAGTTCCTGAAATGTGACCTCTCTGCTGTAACAGGCTAATGTTAAGTATAAACCATTAATTCCAGTGTAGTCCAATTCACTCTTTTAGTGTTGAATTTATGATGTCTGATTCAAGTAAAACGTCTCTACCTCATGGCAAAAATTGACCCAGTATATTTCCTAGCAACCCTGCTGTTTTATGATATACAAGTAGTAATCACAAAGCCAGCATGGAGCTGATTTTGGGCACCTGACCAGCAGATCAGGGTGTGATGTAGAGATCAAACCCTCACTCTACCACCACCAGGAGATTCTGGAAGCAGTCACCCTGTTTGGACCTGCAATGAGGCTCAAGTCACCGATTCTGTGCTTCAGAGAGGAGCAGATCTGTGCCAAGAAGCTGCCCAGGAAATGTGGTGTTTTCTTACAGTGTGAACATGGAAGCTAACATGGAGTGCCTTATGTGAGGGACTGGTCTGTGTGCCCAAGAGACCGGCCCAGCCAGCTGGTCAAACATGATGTTTGGGTGTGTCTTTAGGGTGTTTCTAGAAAAGATGAACATTTGAACCCATAGACTGAGAAAAGCAGATCTGCTCACACTAAAACAGGAGAACTCAGTCTCTCCTCCCTCTCCATGAGGTAGGAATTCATTTCCCCTGCTCTTGGTCTCCAGAGCTCCTGATCTTCCGGCCAGCAGACCCAGGGACTCACCCCAGCACCTGCCCCATGCTCTCGGCCTTCCAGCCTTCCTGGGTCTTAGGATTCCAGATGACAGATCCTAGGACTTCCTGGTTTCCACAGCTCTATAGGCCAGTTCCTATAAGCAGCATTCTCATATACACAGGGATAAATGTAGATACATGTATGGTTCTATTTCCCCAGAGAACACGAGCTGCCAGCTGTTTAAATACTTGGCAAAGCTTGATAAATTCCTTCCAGTGAAGCACGTTTGAGAACATGGAGATCTCAGCCCACAGCTATTATCATCTACCTGTTTACAAAGGGCAGCTACTGGACTTTACCTAGGATACAACACTTGGACGCACAGCCAGAAAATGGCCATGTGGGATTAACTAGAAACAACACAAAAAGGCCCTGTGGACAGGGGCCAGGGCTGCACTGTGTAAATGTCATGCTCAGGAGAGCTGTGGGAAGGGTGCCTGGCCATGCTGGTCCAGTTTCTACATAAGTCCTGGCCATGTTAGCATGGACAGTATTCTATTTTGAAGTCTATCTCCTATGATTCCAAATATTAACAGCCATAAAAGCACTCACAAAAGAGACCAGGGCAAACCAAGCTTTAAAATAAACTTCTATGGGGAAAAAATGTTTTAAAAAGATTTAATAATGGGGCTGGCACCATGACATAGCAAGCTAAGCCGCCACCTGCAGTGCTAGCATCCCATATGGGCACCAGTTCCTGTCCTGGATCCTCTGTTTCCAATACAGCTCCATGATTGTGGCCAGTGAAGATAGCA